ATCTGGGAGCCCCCTTGTTAAAGGGGGCTTCCAGTTTCCAAAATTCCCCTGCCTGCAGACCCCCACAACCACCAGCCACAGTTGTGGGGAAGAGGCCCTTGTCCCCATCAACATGGGGACAAGGTGCTTTGGGGGCAGCCCCCCTGTCTCATGTGGGGAGAGCAGCCCCATGTTGAAGGCATTTGGACTGGCATGGTTTAGGAGGGGGGAGCTCACTCATCCCCTCCTTTCCTGACCTTCTGGGCTGCATGCTTGTATAGGGGTCTAGTATGGATTTGGGGGGAACCCCCATGCCATTTTTTTTTATTTTGGCATGGGGGGTTCCCCTTAAAATCCATACCAGACCCAAAGGTTTTTTTTTTTTTAATTAATTACCGGGCAATGCCAGCAATTCTTTTTTTAACCCCACTGACAGCTAAAGCGCTAAAGAATGTTTTCACTACTAACATACTGCATGACTTAATAATATGCAGTATTTTAGTAGCTGTGTGGTATCTTACATACTCAGATGTGGTAAGATACCGCTTAGTGAATTGTCCCTGTTTGAAGTTCGTGGTCAAACTTTCGTTAGCTTCAATTATTCAGCCGCAAACAAAACAGGGGGGTGTTTGGCCCATTACTAGTAAACAAGACAAATAGAGAGGGTGAATTTTCCTAGCTAAAACACTGACAAAAATACAAACTGACAAGCTAAAAAAAAAAAAAAAGTTTTGCCTTTAGTTGTATTTTAATATACAGTATCTTCTGAAGCATCTTAACAGAATCAGTCATTGTCTTTTGAAGTGACAGTACATGCTGCAAAGTCTAAAGCTGAATTAAAATTAAAAATCTGTTTTACTTAACTTATCTTCCTCTTCTGCAGGCTCTTCCAGATTCTCTACAGCACTGCATCTCTCAATCACACACTCTGACATAATCAAATACAATGCAGGACCTGCAATCTTGCATTGTAAGCGAGGGGGCTGAGGGCCTCTACAGAACCTGAACTATAAGAGAGTAAAGGGGCGCACTGTCTGTTAGGTGAAGAAGGGAAAGGGTAAATAAAAACTACTTTTTAATGACAAAAACAAACATTCAACCCAATATAGGGACAGTCCCACTACAGAGGTAGTTTTTTTTTTATTATTTCTTTAAGGGAGAAAGTAAAAAAAAGAGTGAGTAGAAATAACTGAAGCATAGCAAAGGAACTGTATATATTAATCTTTCCTAATTATCTCTGTACTTTCAAAGACAACATTAGCCCCCACTTTGCTAATAAAATCTCAACAACATCTGTTGTCTTCAAGTAATCATGTACAGTATAACAGTTAAGGGATTTTAAGGGTGCCACACATTTTCAGAACAACATTGAGATCATACCAAATTTCTATAAACATATCTATAAATTTAAAATAACATTTACAGTATTTGGTTCCAAAATATAAAATCTTCCTTCATAGAGGATGAACATATACAATGCAATTTACAAGTTGTTACAGCAGTCTACAGATTTTTAGCAATACCAGCATGTTTCACCCATCCGGGCTTCTTCAGGGTGGATGACTGCTGATTAATCCAAAGCTACATACAAAAATATACTAAAAATTATAAGACTATTCAATCAAAAACCACATAATTAACAATCCATATAGCTTCTAATTTTTATCTGCTGACCATAATCTGTCAAGTTTACCCAAAATGTCTCGCATGTAAATTATGAAGATAGTTGTACAAATGATAGCAGAGGTTTGGGGTCCACCAAGTGATCATAGGGGGTACACAAGAACCAAGCTGATGAAAGGTCAAACAGTTACACCTCCAACAATTGTAACAAAGAGTCAAATACCTCCTATAAAATTGAAAAACTAACTTACGGAATTTTTTGTATCAAATCCACAAGAGGGCACCCAAGAACAAACACCTGATGCGACACTTGCTTCGATAAAATTAGCCACTGTAAAAAACAGTAATTTGTATTGTGAAATTTTGTTATATATAATGAACCAGTTGGATCTTAAATAATTAGGGTTCATATGCTTATATTAGAGGACCTTGTGCCTGTAAAAGGACAACCTTGAAAACATGGTATATAATCAAAAGTACCTTTTGTAAATTCACTCAATTTTGTGGCTTTATATGAATTGGTGCTATTAATAATGTTCTCCTCTTAAGCAAACAAAGGATAAATTACTCCCACTTTCATCCAATCACAGCATAATCTGATTTCAATGCTATTCCCAATAATATCTATCAAGATAACTATTAAGTTCTCACCTCAGACAATGGAAACATCCAGCACACCTGACAATCCTAATGGCTCTGGAAAGATGGCCGCCAAAGATGCTGGCCTTATATACCCCCTGCCCTTCCGGCATCTATTGTCACCGGACGCATGCGGACGTAGTTGGTCACACTACGCATGCGCCAGAATGGGCCTAAGTACCCGGAATGCACCAGGTCCTAACGCAAGAGGAATTTTCTCATTCTTGACAATGGGGACAGTGCTTCCTATTGATGGACAATTATCTGTTCTCTTCACCATACATCATGTAATAAAGATTTCCATCCTTGACACTTTATGAAATAACTATCCCTGATTGTCTTGCATGTGCATTTTTTAATATCCAAAAATGGTCTGTCTACAGAGTCTGCAAATTCTTTTGCAGTGTTTGATGATGTCCATGAAACCTAGCAGTCGAATAGGAAGAACTTCCAGGCCTGACTGAATTAACTGAAAAATATGACAGTCATCATGCTTTCTTTTTTCAAATTTACCAGTATATCAACAATTTAATTGAGGGATAACTATTCAGTAGCCATATGCTAATAGACACTCACTACACAAGTAATATGGGGAAAATGTTCCTGCTCTCACAGTAATTTATCATTACTCTACCATTATGAATTAGCTTTGTGTTCTAGTCCACTTTGAGTTTAACCTGAACCTAAGCTGTTTGCTGTTTCCCAAAAAGGCAAACAAAATGTTCAGATTTGGCTATTTTCCCACCTGGACCTATGGCTTCTGCAGCAGGAAGTCATTCATTTAATGTGAACTTCCCTTTCAGGGTTGCTCTCCTGTCATCATTGGTTGCTAGGATACTAGTGGTCATCTGGACCAAAACAAATTAAGACACTTTGTGAACCCAGCTGCCTGTGCTCAAGCAACCAAAGTTTCTATGCAAGCTGGAAGGATGCTTGCTAGGACACAGGCAGATGCACAATATCACTGGTTTCTAGATGAAGATAGCTGACAGCACCCTAGCAATGCTGCCAGATAGATTTCAAATTGGAAAAACAACAACATGTGGCATCTCAGGTGTCCATATTTGGTAAAAAAATGGCACTCGGCAAACCCCTCTTTGTTTACATTCAGCCGCAGGCCAGTAAAATGTCATTTCTGACAAGAGTATCAAAGGAGCAGATTCTAATTGTGGGTCATCATGTTTGTGTCAATGGGTCGCTGGGTCATCATTCATCGTGACTGATGATGGATCTACATCACTGGATGACACAATTGACATGGGATCTACATTGTGAAAACATTATTTGGGGATTTTTTTTTAATAAAGGATTTTTGCAAGTGTGTCTGTGTTTTTATTTACTATTGAATATTTTGTGAATAAGTAATGAGGAAATATATACCCAATACTCATGTTGGTTAAAGGGGGGCTTCCACATTCTTCCAGAGTCCCCCCTTGTAGACCCCCACATCCATGAGGTCAAGGCTGTAGGGAAGAAGCCTTTTTCCTCATCAACATGGTGACAATGTTGAGGACATGGTTCAGGAGTTGCCACATGCCCATTTCTCACAAGCCAAAGTGACCCAGGTGTAGAATTTTCTGAGACACATAAAATAATTTTAGTGTTTTTAGGTGATATCAGATAATTAAATAGCCGGTGAAATAAAAATAAAGTGTGATTTTATTGTATCTTACAATGGCTTAAAAATACAAATGTATCATGTATAACAGTTCAGTGTAGGTAAAACAAAAATATAAAAACAGTAGTTATAAAGATGTGACAAGCTTCGAGTCATGGCTGTCCTGCCTTGTGCTTCTTGTCTGTTCAATGCAGCTTAGTCTGAGCAAGAAGAAGGAAGTGACGTGATCCTAGGTCTCTAAGAGAATGCACCTGTTTCAGCTTGTCACTATGTGAATAACTATTGTGTCTTCATGCCTTGCTTGTGAGTGTTTATGTGTCTGTATGTGTGTGAATGGACAGATATGTGTATGTATGTGTTGCGTGTTTCCATCTCTTAGGATGTCTTTTTATGTTACATGTAGACGTCATAATTCTCATAACTCAGAACCTTGTATGGCAAACAATTCTGCTTAGTAAAGCGATTTCATTGAAGGGAGGGACACTACATATACAGTAAGGTCCTATGATTGACAAGCCCATATGTAACACTTTATTCTTGATATGAAACATGGCTTCATACGTTAACAGTGTTGCATCAGCCTACTCATGTGACCAGTTTCGCTGTTTAACCTCCCTAGCGGTATGATTATTTCAGATTTTTGGTGCTGAAAGCGGTACCATTATTTTGCATGGAAATATGTAGTTTTTTTTATTGTAGGCTGTAATTTTTAGGAATAACTCACTGAAATCTGTCCGAACAAGAGTCTATTAAACATCCCGGGTACGATAAAATTTGAAACACAAAATCATAAATTATAATTTAATAAATAATCATAAAAAATAATAATATAATAATAATACATTTAATTCAATAATATAATCAAACCAAAAACACTGAAATTTGAAATAGAGCGCCAAGTTGGCACATTGCTGAGCAAAGTCGCAAAATCGTTTTCAGTGTCTGATGACGAATTTCCCCACGAATCATTATCACTCAATTCTGCAAGTGGTTCTGATTTACTATCGCTGTTCTCTAGCTGATCTAAACCCGCTTTTGACCTAAAGGGACACTTTTTGGACGCCATGGACTTTTCTCAGTTTCCAGGCAGAAAGAACAGACAAAATGCAGGCAGGGCACAGGACAAAGCACTAGGGACAAAATGTACGTGAAATGGGTTGAAACAGCAATGTTTTTACTATGTAAAATTTGTTTGGAAAAAAAATGAAATTTTTTTGTTAAATTTCCAAATTTCCTGCTGTCGCCGGCGCCCGTACGTCCTGACGTCACAGGGACCGGAACACAGAAGCCGGATGCCGACATTGGCCGGAGGAGATGGCCGCGGATGCTGCAGGGGACACATCGCGGGGAGCGCAGGACAAGGTAAGCTCTGCAGGGACTCCCTATGCAGCGCCGCATGGTAAGCCCGAGTGTAGCTCGGGGTTACCACTTTTGGTACTGACATTTTACCCCGAGCTACACTCGGGAATACCGCTAGGGAGGTTAAAGGATAGTATAACTAAGAATCTATCTTTACAACATAATATCTCAGTAATGTTGTATAACCAAAAATCTTATGTAACACAAATTACCAACTTATAACACATACATTAAACACACACAGATACTACTAGCATATACTGTTTCATACTAATTCTATTTTGGTTCACTTCTGACTCCCATGACACCTTACACCAGAGATCTTTCTAACCAGCTATGCCCATCTACAGAAATGTCCTAAATACTCAGCTTCCAGCTAGTTAACTTCCACTACTCGGATATTTTTCTGGCTCAGCTATAACTGAAGAGTTCAACACCATAACTTTTGCAAGCCAACCACACAATTTAATATTAATTATGATTAATCATAAAAACAAAAAAAATGTGCAAGCTTGACATAAATATAAGTTCCATAAGCGCCAAATTATGAATTTAGAATTACTATTTAACGCCAGGAAATGTTATTTAGTGTGATTTTTTCTTTCTAAATGTCACTTTTATTTTAATGCATCATACAAGTTTGCCAGTTCACATGCAAGTTTAAGGCATCTCCCAAGTTAATTAAGGAGTTGTTGTAATTTTTTATTGTTGCTTTTTAAGCTTTATGAAAAAAAAAAATGCTTCCCACTGAAAGGTGTTTTTGGCAGGATCCAACTACTCATGCCCTTTTCCCAAAAGCTTGAAAATTCTGCCCTTGAAAAAAAGGGCAGAAAAAATACCAAGATTCTACTACTGTAGATTTCAATACAGTGTTATTTTTCAGGATTTACAGATTTTTTTGTTCGGCAAAAATCCAGCAAACCAAATTTGTTTGGATCACTCAACTCTATCTGCCACCTTCGCCAGCAGTTACAGTTGTGACCAAAATTATTCAACCCCCACTGAAATTGAGTGTTTTGGCCAGTTTGACATTGCTTTTGATCATTCAGTCATCTTGCTTACATTTACATTAAAGAGGCACTTGTAGGTCAGACAAATATAACATAACAGTTATAATGAAATAACCACAAATGTCTTTTCTGTGCTCACAGCACTTTATCAGTTTTATTCAACCCCCAAGTGACATTCAATCTTAGTACTTAGTACAGCATCCTTTTACAGTCTTTATAACAGCTTTTAAACGTGAAGCATAGCTTGACACAGTGTCTTGCAGCGATCCTACGGGTATCTTCGCCCATTCTTCATGGGCAAAGGCCTCCAGTTCAGTCACATTCTTAGGCTTGCGCACTGCAACTGCTTTCTTTAAGTCCCACCAGAGGTTCTCAATCGGATTTTAAGTCTGTGTGACTGCGATGGCCACTCCAAAATGTTCCAGCCTTTCCTCTTGCAACCATGCTCTAGTGGACTTGGAGGTATGCTTGGGATCATTGTCCTGTTTTGAAAGGTCCAACGTCTCCCAAGCCTCAGGTGTGTGACGGACTGCATCACGTTTCCATCCAATATCTCCTGGTACTGAAGAGAGAATTCATGGGTACCTTGCACACGCTGAAGCTTCCCTGTACCTGCAGAAGCAAAACAGCCCCAAAGCATGATTGACCCTCCACCATGCTTCACAGTAGGCAAGGTGTTCTTTTCATCATAGGCCTTGTTCTTCCTCCTCCAAACATAGCGTTGATTCCATGTGGGGCCCAAACAGTTCTAATTTTGTTTCATCAGTCCACAGAACACTATCCCACAACTTTTGTGGTTTGTCCACATGGCTTTTGGCATACTGCAGTCGACTCTTCTTATTCTTTGGAGACAGCAAGGGGGTAACGCCTGGGAGTTCTGGCACGGAGGCCTTCATTACGCAGTGTGCGTCTTATTGTCTGGGCTGAAACTTCTGTACCCACATCTGACAAATCTTTTCTCAGTTCCTCAGCAGTCACACGGGGACTTCTCTCCACTCTACGCTTCAGGTAGCGCACAGCAGTCGAAGTCAGCATCTTCTTTCTGCCACGACCAGGTAGCGTTTCAACAGTGCCCTTTGCCTTGAATTTGCGAATGATGCTTCCTAAGGTGTCTCTTGGTATGTTTAACATCTTTGCAATCTTCTTATAGCCATTGCCCTTCCTGTGAAGAGAAATCACCTCTTCTCTTGTCTTCCTGGACCATTCTCTTGCCTTCACCATGTTTGTAACCACACCAGTAAATGTCTAGAAGGAGCTGAGTATCACAGTCATTTTAAAGCTGCCTAATTGGTGCTTATTATGCTTGATTGCTGCTCGGTGACATCCACAGGTGTTTTCAATACCTGATGGAAAGCACCTGTATGAACCTCTGTTCTTCAGAGTGGTAGTCTTTAAGGGGTTGAATAATTGTGGCAATGAAGAAACCACATAAGAACCATTTACTACTGTATTACATAACAATTGATGTCATTTTAGTTGCATTTGGGTAGTTACAACGTCCTTGTAGGATTTGATTCTGAATACAATTCCAAATGTACACTATAGTCCCTAAACCCCTTTACAGCATTGGGGGTTGAATAATTTTGGTCACAACTGTACTATTAGCTTACTGTTCTGCTTGCTTATGCTTATTCATGAGAGGCAAATACAAATTGATAAATCCTGTGGATTCCTATACTGTACATTGAAACTCAGATAAAGAAAAATTAGGTAAACTTGCCTGAGCAGATTTCCAAAAACATCTTTAGTTATAATATCAAATAAATTTGAATGGCGTTTGAAAATACTGTTGCTTTAATGCTGTATTTTAACAGTTAATATTAGAAACACTACCTGTGTATTTTGTCCTTAGTATATAGAAAATAATTACATGTTTTAAAAAAATGTTAATTTAAAAAGCTGAGAGTTTGACATTACGTAAATCATTTCTTGACCTAACATAGAATAAAATGTTAGGACATCGATACCAAGGGAAATAGCTTCTAAGCTTTTATTATCTTTTTATTTTCAATTTTTAGTTTACTGGAAAATCATTGATGTTATATTATGTGGTTCTACTAGGTTTAGCGTTTGCCCAGCTTGAGTTGCACAGAGGTTCATTGTGGATTATACCTGCTGCTGAGAAATTTATGGGTTATAAAACAACACAGTAAATAAATGAGACATCTCACTGTTGACATCCAGGTAGGTATCAGATTTTTAGTGTTTCATTTAACTCATAACCATTACACAGATTTTCTTATTAGTAGATGTGGAAATCAATATTTGAAACATACTTCATAAAAACCCTGTGCATCATTTTGCTGGAACAGTTAAAGATTGAGAAAGAAAAAGTGAAATATACATTCATGAAAACAAAAATGTTTGCTTATTTAATCATTAACACCTCCCTGCTTTCATTTGCTAGATCAATGCTCCTAAGCACAATGTTGAGGACAAATGATAAACATCTTCTCTTTAAAACCTGGCAGAGGGGACTTTGGGGTCAATTCACTAAGGTTTATCGCATGTGATACCACGGTTATGTGACTAATTTGCATAAAATATTGCATGCTGTAAAAAAATGTCCAATTCACAAATAAAATTATTCTGCAGTGTTTAATGCAAAATTAAAAATGTGTCCGTAAATACTGCATAAAAATCATGTGGTAAGGTGTTAAGTCCAACTTACAAATGGAACAGACAGTAAAAAAAGATGTAATATTTATCACCAGGGTTTTGCTGACATATCACATGAGGTATTTTTTCAGATGCAGCGAGGGTATCCCCCCAAACCATACCAGGCCTATCAAGGTGACTGCAGTGTTAAGATGGGCAGTGTGCATCTGTCTAATACTGTACTTGTCAGATAAAATTACTGTATTAAAAAATTTATTTAAAAAAGTATAAGCTAATTTTAAAAAATCCACAATTTTATTTATTTATAATGGTCTTCTAGTCATTTACAAACTGTTTGATGAAAGGCCACAAGTTTGAATCAGTCTCAAACCTTAAGGAAAAGTTCGCCTTTTGACAAAAAATAATAAATGCAAAATTTTTTTGCAGGTACATATTTAAATAAATGTATTATTTTTTGTTTCTGGAGCTTGTAAAGCATTGCACCAGTGATCGCTTGTGCCATGCAGGCCTCCTGCAGACCGGTCAGTATATCTGCTTGCCCTTACGGAATGTTTACAAAAAGTGACAGCTTGTACAGGGAACTCCTGCCCGTATTTCTGTCATGGGGGGGGGGGGGGTTGAATTAGTCTCTGATCTTAAAGGATAAGTTCACATTTTGACAAAAAATAACAAATGCACTTTTTTTGCTGGTAAAAAAATTTGCTTTTTTTTTTGTTGTTGAAGGAGCCTGTAAACATTGCACCAGTGACCAGTAGATCGCTGGTGCCATGCAGGTCAGAAAACTGATTAAAAATAACAGAATATGCAGAAGATTGTGAGATTACATTATAAATAATGATTCTAAGAGTCACACAATAAAGCCAATCTGACCAAAAGGAATAAACAAAGGAGAACCACAAATTTCAAATACCATGTGGCTGAGCAAAGGATAATGCTCAGACGTTGATTTTGAAACACAGGTTGTCCATGTGGTATGGAAGCTGTAGCAGATGATTCTAGATTGCCCTAATTGATTCTAGACTACCTTGACTAGAATCTATCTGGTTGTCCACTTTCTGTAGTACTAGAGAACCAGTCTTCTGGTGTTCATGTGCTCTCTTTGTAGGCCTCCTGTGTCTTATTGCTACTATTATAAACATCATAACTTTTCATTCAGGTAAGGTATTAACACATGGAGGTTGATATATCAAAGACAAATAGGCTGTTCAATTTGTAAATTTGAGTCAGCAGAGCTTCACCTTATTCACTCTGGGGAAAATTCCCTTGCAAAATGAAAATTGCTTTGCAAAGTGAACATCAATGTTTCTTCTTTCCTGAGGTACAAAAGCATCAAATGTTTACCTCAGGCAGACCTGAGCTGACATGTTTGTGGGAGCTCAGGACATGAACATTGGGCCTAGTAGCATAGTCCATGGGGTGCAGCTTTGGAGATTGGCACTGGTGTTCACGTATGACCTCAAGTACCATAGTGTATGCTTGCCTAAATTCTTGAGATATAAAGCAGATCATTTAGCAGTCAAATACATACTTGTAACCACTTTCAAAAGTTAATGGATACCAACAGTTTTGTGATTCTCATTAGATATACCGTGGCTGCAGCTTTTCATACACTGACAAGGTTGCAGAAAGACATAGAGTGACCCCAAGACAATGATAATTCAATTTGGCATTCATCGAGTCATCAAAATTGAATCTTGGCATTTACATCCTTAGTTTTCCTGTTCCAGCTTTCACATAATATTTACTGAAGAGCCTTAGGTTTGCCCAGGCAAATGGCAGCTCTGCCTGAACTCTCTGATCTCTCTGATCTCCACCTTTATCAGAGATTACAAAAGCAATGCTTCAACCAGCACCAGAGGACACTTGCTTCAGCTGGAAAGTTGCTTTATCATTTCAATGGAGTATAATAGACAGGAAGGGGGTTGTTGTAAGTTAATTTTAACACTCAGTTAAAGTGTGTCATGCTAAAAGCTTTAGACCCCACTTCCACTGTATTTCACCTCATTACAGCAAATTCAGGTTCTTTGGTTATGATCTTAAATATGCTTGTGGCATACAAAAGGGATTGATTGAAACCATGAAGTTTTCAACAAAATGGTAACTCTGATTGCTTCTGTTCAAAAAGCTCCTGTATTAAGCAGTCTGAGCAGGTTAGCTGATTCTCCTTGGAGGGAATGTGAATTAGAAGTGTTAGCAAGTTTTTAGCCAATTATGTATTTAAAGTTAAATTTTGGAAGTCAAAACTAAATTTGAACCCATTAGACTTTCATTGTTTAGTTTCCTTTTAAAGCAAATTGTTTATTTGCCTGGAAAAACATGTGCTTGCATCATCAGTTCATACAATCTATTTGTTATAATATGCAATCATATTCTAGATTGAAATGGAAATCATTTTCCAAAACACTGTCAATTTATTTGCTGTCTGGGGATGTTAATAACATTAGCCGTGTGCTTAGTTTGAAGTGAGGGCTGAGGAAAGTTATTGTGGTAAAGCTTGCTGAAGTACTGAATTTTAATAACTTGAATCTGTTGTGATTACCCTTTGTGACAGGCTTTCCATTTATTGACAAATTAACGTATTACATGAACAGTTTGATGACTTCAGTGTGAGAATACTATATTTTCTCCATCAAAGTGAGCTGACATCTTTATATTACATTGAGTTTGGGATGCAAATATTTGATCATATTCTTGACATCAAGCATTGTCACTGTACGTTTTTTCTGCATTGTGGAGCAAAATGCTTCTATCTATTGACTCCGTTCAGAGTATCTTAAAGAGTAATTCAGGTTTTTTTTGTGCAAAACAAAGCAGTATAGGAGTAAAGAATGTAAATTATATTTTTTTCATTCTTATTCCGGATCTTGTGCAGTGCTTTTAACATTCCGCCATACCCAATGGTAACTGATAAATATCTACAGTAGCTAAACGCAACAAGGAAATGTTCTCCTAACATAAAATTGTCCAATATAAGTAAATGTATATCACTGCAGATAAACCACATGATGGGCGTCACAAGAACTTCAAAAGCATTTACTATAAGCAAAAGGAAGTGAAACAAATAACTTAAGCATTAAATAAGCATTTTTTCTTACACATGATTGGATGAAAGAAATCAACAGAGCTTCGCTTCATTTGAGAGCTTCCCCTTGGACATAAAGTAACTGCACTTGCAGTGCTGTTGAAGTGCACTTGCAGGTGTACTTGCGGTGCACTTACAGTGCACAGTATATTTATCTTTAGTAAATCAATAAATCATTGTCTTTACTACCCAAAGGGGCTGATCAATGATGCTTGTCCACAGTGGTTGCCCTGACCTTGCAAGCCTCCTGATACCTCTGATACTCTTGGTTCAGACATATTTCAAAAGTATAGAATAATAAAACACGAGAAACAATTCTATAGTAGCACATATATATTACACTTTTTCAAAAGAGTAGACCAAAGAAATAATGGATTTAGGGTTTAATTACATAATGCAGTTAATGCATAAAAGTAAAATCCTGGTACAATAGAAACAATACATTTGAAATGTTTAACAGATTATACAGCCATGAGAAGTAAGCTTCAGCTGTTTTAATTGTAACACTAGCAATAAGAGGGGGGAGAGAAGACTTGTTGACTTATCAGCTCCCTCTGGGCCACCAGCACTACAAGGGTTATGCAGAGAATTATGTATATATATATACACTGGCATAAATATATGTAGATACCCTAGTTTGAGTAACAATGGCCTTAGAAATGAAGAGGTCCCTTTAACTATAGATTGCAGCTTGAGTCCTGTGATCTTAAAAGTTCCTGATATGGTGGTATTCACTGTTTTCTGCTAGCAATGGTGGGGCCCATAACCATTAGTGAATACTAGTAATTCAATGAAGTTTAAAAAAATCAGATGTGGTACTGCTAAATGCAAAGGTCTCCTGGTACCTGTAAAGGTATGGTTGGGCATCCACAAGCTCACTAATCCTATGGATAGCACGGCTTCCTAGGAACAAGAGTTCTTGTGCAGGCTCTTGATTGCTTGTAGAGATGTGCAGAGGTACCGACTGACAACCTGTCAGTGTGTTGAGCAGCAGTGTCTGTGTGAGGTCCAGACAGTTACAGTCCCAGTGCAGAGAAGACTGATGCGATCATGGTGTGGCGATCGGCATCACCGCTGTGCTGAGTCCCGCTGCAATAGGTCCACAATCTTTCTCTGTAGGAGAAAGGCAGTCCACCAGTTTTATTAAATCTTCTCCAGTGTGTTCTCTGGTGGAGGAGTCATG